GAACATCATCGATTATCACTCTAGTTTCCCTTCAAAACGTATAAATCTTTCGCCTTTTACTAAAGATTTCCGTGGAGGGGAACAAGTTAACGAGTTTTTAATCTAATTTTTTGTTTGCCCTGCCTTCCTGGCGGGGCTTCTAACCTCAATAAATAAATTAATGAAACTTCATAGTTTAAGAAAGAATTATGCGGTTTGTTATTAGGCATATTTTTTAATCAAATCCACGCATGCGTGAAGGTTTTCTTTATCTTAGCGCATTGGAAATGATGATGTAATACATGAGAGCGCAAAGCATAGTCACCTGACTGAAGTAAACGTATTCTAAAAATGAAATTTGTATAATCTATAATCATTCGTGAAATATTTATTTTTCTCTATTTCTAAAAAAGTAAAATAATACGCACGCATGCGCAAACTTTTTGAAACTATTTGTGAAATGATATGATGCATGAGAGAGCACAAAGCATCCCATACGTGAAAGAAACTTGTATCTGTACGGGTCCTCTCTGGACATCACTGCTCGTCACTCTGGTTTCCCTTCAAAACGTATAAATCTTTCGCCTTTTACTAAAGATTTCCGTGGAGGGGAACAAGTTAACGAATCTTTATACTAATTTTTTGTTTGCCCTGCCTTCCTGGCGGGGCTTCTCACCTCAATAAATAATTGAAATATATTCAGCAAAATTAATATGCGGGTTTTCATTAGGTATAGTTTGGATTTCCACGTATGCGTGAACGCTTTCTTTATCGTAGCGCATTAGAAATGAATGTAATACATGAGAGAGCACAAAGCATAGTCACCTTACTGACATTAAGATATTCTAAAAAATGAAATTTAAGTAATCTATAATCATTCGTGAAATATAATTTTTCTCTATTTCTAAAAAAAGTAAATTGTGACGCACGCATGCGCAAACGATTTTAGCCAAAAATGAAAGGATGTGATGCATGAGCGACCATGAAGCATCCCATACGTGAAAGAAACTTGTATCTGTACGGGTCCTCTCTGAACATCATCGATTGTCACTCTAGTTTCTCTTCAAAACGTATAAATCTTTCGCCTTTTACTAAAGATTTCCGTGGAGGGGAACAAGATAACGAGTCTTCAGACTAATTTTTCGTTTGCCCTGCCTTCGAGGCGGGGCTTCTAACCTCAATAAATAATTAAAACATCGTCAGCAGAATTAATATGAAGGGTTTTTTTAGGTATAGTTTTTAATCAAATCCACATTCGCAAACGTTTTCTCTCTGATAGCGCATTAGCAATAAGAGAGAGGACGAAGCATAGTCACATCACTGATATCAAGATATTCTAAACACAAGAAAATGAAATTTTCGTTGAAATAATCATTCGTGAAATATTTAATATTCTCTATTTCTAAAAAAAGGGAAATACACGGTAAAGTGGAACAATTAAAGAAGTTTTTAAACTAATTTTTCGTTTGCCTTGCCTATGTGGCGAAGCTTCTAAACTCAATAAATAAATGAAACTTCTTAAACAAAAGTATGCGAATTGTAATAAGGTATATAGTTTGCAGTCAAATCCACACATGCGCAAACGTTTTCTCCCTCGCAGCGCATTACAAATGATGTAATACATGAGAGAGCGCAAAGCATAGTCACCTCACTGATGTAAACATATTCCAAAAATGAAATTTGTTTAATCTATAATCATTCGTTAAATATTTAATGTTCTCAGTTCCTAAAAAAAAGTGAAATGAAACGCGATCATGCATAAAGAATTTTAGCTATTAATGAAACGATACGATGCCTTATTGACCACAAAGCATCCCATACGTGGAAGAAACTTGTATCTGTACGGGTCCTCTCTG